GAGCAAATACCCAGCCTCACAAAGTGTTGTGTTTTTATTGTAATACCTGTTTTAACTTTTCCAAATTTTAGCTGGCCAAACACTCTTCATATAATAATAATAAGAAAAGCAAGAAAAACAAAAATCCCCCTAAAAGTAACACTGAAACTAGCCTAAACTAAATCCAAACCTTTCTAAACAGTAACACCAGAGTTGAAAATACAAAACTGTAACATTTAACAATAAATGCTGAGCTTGCGGTAAACGTAACTGCTTTTTTTTTTTTTTTTTACGTCTCCACCATTTTACTTACCTGACTTCTTACGACCATGGGTCTGATACAACCTTTAGTTAAGACAGCTAACGACTGCACTGCAAGCAGAAATGATGAATATAAATGTAGGTATTCATTTTTTTCTTTTTAGGAATAATGCACATCTTATTTATTTAATAAATAAATAAATAAATTTATATCCCCCCCCCCCCTCCTGTATGCCACTCTACGAGTCAGCTGAGCTAGAAACTTAAAAAGAAAAACCAAACAAAACTCTTATGGAAGAATACTCTACTCGGAAAACATGTATTGGTAAAATATAGCAAGAATAAAATTGTTCTAATTGTTATGTGTATGCTCTGAATTCCTCAAAAACACTAAAAGAAAATGAAAAACAATTAAGATGATTAAATATTTAACAAGTTAAAGGAAGGGGATGAAACGGGGTACAGGTGAGGATTTCCGGTGTAGTCTCGATTTTCTGCACTATGCAAAAAAAATTCAAAATATTGGGAGTTTATTTTTTTACATTATTGCCCTCCAGTCTTTAATAATCATTTTCCTCGGTGTATCTTAGTGTGACAGAAAAGCAAAGCTGAGAAGTGTGAGGTAAATATTGTGTTTAATAAACAAACATCAGTCAGGGAACTGACATTAGTCTGGGGATGGAGACGGGGAAATATAAAGCACAATGCACATGTGTAGTGGTGGAGGGGGGGACGTATTTATCTGTTACACAAGGTGCCCCCCGTACAGTAGGAGCAGGAAGTTCTATATAACATACAGATCAGGATCCAAGTCTACGGTACAAAAACTTAGCAGCAACATGTTAACATCGGAGACCAAGGGGCTAACAAAGTAGTTTCATTTAGAAAAAAGTCACAGTATTCTTTAAGCATAAATTTGTTAAAAAGGTAAAAACAGTCCTAAGCATCCTCTAGGGTCAATGCTACTCACAAGATCTGTGTGTGAAATACATAGGTAGGGAAATTATCTATACATTTATACTCTAATATAAAGACCTTCTGGTAATGGCACAGTACAAACTCCCAGGAAACGCGACAAAAATATACAATGTCTTCACGTCACATTTGCAGATTAAAATGTAACTAAAGGTCTCTGGCAAGCACAATAGTTTCAGTGATCCAAAAAAAAAGAAAAAAAAAACAACTTCTCTTCAACCAAAATAAAGGACACCATTTTGTTAGTTCAGCTATCTTGACAGATTATGTCTTTTTAATACAAAAATAAGGACAAATACTGTATAAATTAATATATATTAAAAGAATCAGATTGATACATGGGGAATCTACTGAATAAGTACAGGTATTTATGATACAATAAATACTTGTCATTCATGACTGGGGGCAGAATAAACGGACTGAAGTGTGTTTATCCTGGCAGGTAAGAGGTTTACCTCTATAGGTGAGAGTATTTATGTGTGTTTGTGTGTGTTGTTCAGTAGCTGTAGAAAATAGCACATGATTGAGCACAGCTGTGTGTAGGATCATGCACACAGTCTCAGAGGGTTCAGGAGGTCTGTTAAAAGGGAGACTGCAGACTGCAGTGGTGATTTCTTGTGAAGGTTGTCACTGCTCGCCCTCTCCCAGTGCCTTAACGCAGCTCCTCCTAGTGGTGAGTCTGTGGTACTAAGGTTACTCCTAAAAACACACAACTGGGGGACAGGAAGCAGGAAGTCTGTGGTCAGGAAGTGGTCAGCTGTCAGTGACACGTCAGTCCTCCAGGGAAGAGACAAGTGTGGCACGCCATTAGAGTCATCATGACCAACAAAAAGAAGTAGATAAAAGGAAAAAGTCAACTTTTGTGTGTGTGTGGTTTTTTTTTGTCTTTTTCGCCACTTCATAATAAAAAATAAGTCTGTTTTCGTACTTTACAATACAATTCGACATCCCCACCGAGGAAGCATCAATCATCAGTCCAGCACTGACAAGAAAAGAAACTTTTTTTTGTTTGTTTTTTAAGGGTTTAAAAAAAGGTGGTGGGGGGTACTGTGCATGGTTTCCTCACGGGGAATTAGGATCTTGGACAACGGGGGGTGGGGGATCAAGTAAGGCGAGCAGGAACACAGAACATGTCTGGAGAACAGAAAAATCTGCTGAGGGTGTCGTCTCTGTTTTTTCTTTCTTTTTTTTTTTATGAAGAACACTTTGTACAGCCGCACTTGACAACTTTCTCCACTTCCTGGACAAAAGAAGACCCGTCAGTGCACTGGAACGTGTATTTCCTGCGTTTGCTGCGAAGGGGGGTGCAGCAGGTGCCCTGTCCTTCTGCTCCCCCCGGGCAGCTGCCTCGACACTCTAAACGGGAGACCTTCTCCTGGGTTTGGCACGCCGCGTAGCCTTGCTGTCTCTGGTAGACATCTCGGACCCGTTCCCCTCGGCAGGCCACCTCTGCAGACACAAGGAACAGAAAGAATATTTGCAAGGTGTCCAAAGTTTTTACTGAGAGCTCCACCAATTCTGCACATCATGGGAAAAGGTTGTCCGGCTTTGGCAACAAAGTAAGAAATATACTAGTAATGATATGACTACTGTTTGGATTTTGTTTTTTTAATAAGAGTGTTGTGGGAATGAAATGTTCAAACAGGAGTGCTCTATTGTGTTCAAATGACAGGCAATCTTATGGGTAAAAACAGCAACACAACAAGTCAGTACACCAATGACACAAAGAGGACAGCAAGAAGAGGAAAAAATGGCACTAACATGAAGAATAAAGAAAAACCCTTTCTAGAAATAAACTGCTGAGTGAACTGTTCATAAAACTTTCGGGTTTAATTTGGTTCAATGGCGTTAGTTTAGTAGAAGTCGATGTCTGCTGTTGGTTCAACTAAATTCAGATGTAAAAGAAAGTTTTTTCTAGAAGCCTTTTTAACAACTCGACAGGTGAAAACTTGATTTTTGTCAATCAAACACTTTATTTGTTTTATATTTAAGAATTTGGTAGTAACATTGTACCAGTATGTGGTATGAAAGACTTTCTGTATCTGGTTTTGTGTCAGTGGAGCTGAGTCAGTCTGTCCTTCACCGCCATCCAGTAAGCAGCGGCTGGGGGCCGGAGCTCGTCAGGATTATCCATGATGGACAGTGACCTCATCTCCACCACAGCTTCAAGTCAGGTTTCCTAATTAGTTTATTCAGTCTGTTGGTGTCACCAGCTCTGATGTTGCTCTGCCAACAGACCGCAGCAAAGTACAAATGGCCCATCAATTTGTTGCACACACTGAATATCTCAGCCTGAAAAACTGGCCTGCCATGTGTGTATTTTATTTGAAATTACAACGCAATTATTTACAAATATTTAAAAGTAGGAACACTACAATAACGGGGTGAAAGGAAATGAAGAAATAATGAAGAAATAATTATACCTTAAGTAATGTGTATGTACTTTTACACATGCTATATATGTATAGTTTTGTTTTGTATAGTATAGTCCTGAAAAAATATGACTTGTTAGACTCTTGTTCTAATGTATCTACCTTAATGTTTTTGTAGGTAAACAGAATTACAGTGTAATTCCCCTGTGGAGCTCCTGTGCTGCTCATCAACACAGCAGACAGCTCTCCTCAGTCTTGCATCTGTCAGGTAGTCAGTAATCCATTAGATGGTGGATGTGTTTACTGACACGTTCTGTAGCTTCTCTACAGCAGCAGCGGTTGGATCGTGTTAAATGCACTTGAGAAATCAAAGAGGATGATCCTCATTGTGCAGCCATTACTATCTAGATGGGAAGAAGCTCTCTGCAGCATGTAAATGATTGTATCGTCATCTCCCAGACTTGGTCTGTTTACAAACTGCAGAGATTCAACACTAGCATCCTTGGCACCTTCAACACATGTGATGTGAGGGCAACTGGTCAAGAGCTGTTAAGCTGAATCTTACGCTGTTTATAAATCTGTGAAATGAGTTGACAAAAGTAGTATCCAGCTCAGAAAAGGAAATGCCCTTGATACACAGACAGACTTGGTCCTTTCTGATTTACCAGTCCTGGGATATAATTACACTAATATAAAGCCATGTTACCTTTGCAAAAATGTATTCCTTTAATGCTAAAATTAGTATTAAAAAAAAGGTTTTATTATTCTGCAGTTTGCGGAGCTCCATTACAGTGGGGAAAAAAGTGGGAAAACAATAAAAGGCTGGAACTTTTCATGCTATATGTTGCATGAGGTGACAGCAAGTATACTGATGAGAAGTTTGCTGGGCTGCATGCAGGAGGGACAATTCGTAAAGAAAAGCTGACGTTAACATGCGATCAGGTGGTCTCACCTGAGTAACCCCTCGTGTGGGATTAAGAGGAGGCTCAGGAGATGCTGAGTTGAAAAAGCGACAGGTTAGAAGCGTCAGTGCAGAGAGATTAAACACTTTGAGACACACGCTGCTGAGACACTTTAAAGAGAGTTAGCAAGTAACAGAGAAGCTCAGGCTTTGTTAAAAGAAGCCCACTGGAGTATTAGATTATTATTTTTAGAAGAATTAAGGTAGTGTACCGAACAGGCATCCATGTTTCGCTTACCTCTGTCACACGCCTCTCCTGTATATCCGCTGTTACACTCGCAGTACGCCTTGCCCAGGCCTGACACTCTACATTTGCCATGTTTGCAGCGAGACAGGCTGCAGGGGTTAGCTGCATCCTGGTCCTGCTCATCACAGAGGACACCAGCAAAGCCAGGCTGGCAGCGGCAGGAGTAGGAATAGGAGTTGATTGGGATGCAGGTACCATGGATACACCTGTAGGGTGGAAGAGGGAAATACAGAACGTAAAGAACTGGACAGACAAATCGTGGTCTCTCTTTGAGAGCCATTGCACTAGCTGTGGTTTTAGACGAAGCACAGAAACACTCACTTGTTGCCATCACAGGGGTTGCTAACTTGCTGGTCACACAAAGTTCCCGTCCAGCCTGCGTGGCATGTACAAGTGAAACCGCGGTGTCCAGTTGGGTGGCAGTCACCTTGGACGCAGGCCCCTCTCTGGCACGGCTGACAGCCCGGCTCCACCCCATTGCCCAACCACTTTCTGGTGGTACTCTGGGTGGTTCCAGATCCTGGGAGCCCCGCTTCATGTCCAGCTCCTAGATCCTGGAGCTTCCCGTTGATGTAGAGGTTACGGAGGCAGCCATGGAAGCTCGTGCCGTTACGGCCACCCGAGCTGTGCTGTAGAGCCGACAGACCGCCAGAAGCCGAGGCTCGCTCTGGCATCCCTGCATGAAGACAGAAGTATCTCAGCACCCCATTTAAGATGATTAAAGATCATCTTAATTATATTTTTGTGTGTATGGAAATAAAATCAGGCCCAAACTCAACGTGAAGGCTTTTTATGACTTGATGCTTCACACCTAGCCTCTGGCCACCTGTACATAATGTTTAAATCTAAGTATTTATACTATAATTTGTATAAGTATTACGATAGCTATCTGTTCTACAACACTTACACAGACACAGCCATTAAGAATATACATAGCGCTGAGTCCTTACCTCCCACATAAAGTGGAGAATCTATATTGAGTGTGGACTGCTTGTTGAGGGAGTTGATGGATTTGGGCGGCCCGCCATCAATGGACAGAGACAGAGTCTGATCTGATGCTACTAACTCCACGGCATGGAAATTACCATCATTCACTGTCTCCACGCTGAGAGCGAGAGAGAGAGACACGAGGGAGAAATTCACTTCAGACATCTGTATCATCCATCATGTGAACATGGAGCCAGGGAACGGGCTTTCTGTATACCTGTATATAGCAGAAGGAGGATAGGATCCAGTGTCGTAGCTGACCCTGAGGCGTCCCCTGTACAGCTCCATGGCAATGTGATCATTATCCCCTTTATACAACAACACGCCACTGTCCTCATCGGTAGCAATCTGAAAACACAGCAGGATCTCCATGTTAGTGGCCTAAAAGTGCACTTAGTTCTTTTCACCTGCTGTAAGAATTGTCAACAAAAAACAAGTAAGTCATTTTCAGGTATATGTACTTTAGTTGTGTATTTATTTTTATGACAACTTTTCACTTTTACTTCCTATATGTGTGCACAAATATCTCTGCTTTTACTCCTTACATTTTCAAAACAAACTTTAGGTTTCAGATATTTAAGAGGAGTTATTATTTCAAGTCACTGCACAGAATATCTATAGATCTTTTATAACTCTGTACTCTGGGGTTAAAGCAGGCCAAGACATCCAAGTTTGTGCAGATGTCTGTAAGTTGTGGTCGGAGTACATCAGCATCTAGCGAGCATAAAGGAAATAATGTTTTTAAGGTTCACAGCTGAGCTCAACAAACATTAGCAAACACTCAAACTGTTTGTGTGCAGTTTGTCACACAGTGTGTTGCTAGCTAAAGGTTCAGCTGCTGTATTTCCTGGATAGAGAAAAGAATGAAAGCTAACTTCACTCTGAGATGGAGAAAGATTGAAGACAGACATTATTTTTAAAATGAAGGACTGGAAAGTTAAAGATCTACTTATATTTATATTCAGTTCGGCTCAGCTAATCGCAGCCTGAACACAAAGAAAGTCTAGTTATGCTCAAAATAAAAATTATTTCTAAGTGATTATTTCCCCCACAGCCTAACCTGCTAAATCTCACTTTAACCTGAGAATATACTCTTTCTGTTTAGTTGTGGAGGCAGAATCATCTGCAATACAGACAAAGCAAATTCTACATCACAGCCGTTCAAATTAAAAACAATATCATTAGAGTTTAAATTGAAATAAACTTTGCCTTCCTCTCACTTCACTCTCACTTGGGTAAAGAGTTCAATTTTTAAACACAAGTATCTGCATCTTCAACTTAAACGAAGTATGTGTGTACTTCTGTGACCCCTACTTATAACTGCCTACTTAAACCTGAAATTAAATCAGCATCACAAACTTGTTGTGAGAGTTCCTGTTAATACATGCATTCACATGATTTCACCTACTTTAACTCTGTTTTGTTTGGTTTTTCTAGAAGAGAAATTGAAAGGCAAACCTGATGGTCGGTGTTGCTGCTGTGATCTAAATGTATGCTAATACATGAGGAACACAAACTGGAGATGAATCTTTACAAACCCCTGAAGGAAATCTGACTCTTTAGCAGCTAAGCGCTCCACTACGTTCACCAGCCAGTCACTAACTGTGTCTGCATGCCAATGAGAGTTTAATAATAAATATTCCGACACAGTGAAATTATAAATTAATAAATGAATCAACACCCCCGAGTCATTCTAACTACCAGAAATCTCGAAGCACAGGTCGAGGGGGCGGTGTGGCAGCAATTTTTCACACCAGTCTATTAATTAATGAA